GGCAGCTGAGACTACTTTCAAACAGGCCAAAAAGCCTGAGTTGCTATAGAACCCTAAGTATTCTGCAAAGTCCCAGACCCTTCAATTTTACCTTGTGGATTGGGCAGAGAAATGACACAATAAAATAAATTTTACTCATTCTCTCCTGGGCACTCTGAGACTCAGAAAGAGACTACCTTAACCCTTAGGGAAAAATCTATTTCTCTTTTTATGTCTATAAGAGAGACCTTCTCTGGGATCTGTTCTGGATGCTAGTGTCTCTACTGGTTTCATAATCAGCCATAGCCCTAATCATGCATGCCAAAGGCGGGTCATGATGACCCATGAACAGATTTTGGGAGTAAATATACCCTAAAGAAAGCTCCTGGTTTCCAAATTGTTTAATTTCCTAGCTAGAAGAGCCAGAATGACTAACGCCCACAAAGTAACTGTTATTTGCTCAAGCTTAAATGACTCTGCAGGCTTCACGGTGCTTGTTGCCTTATAATTCTATCTCCTTCACCTTTTTTTTTAATAAGACTTCTCACATCGATACAAATGCTGGTTCTTAAAGCTATTTTTCTCCAACAAACTGATTGCAGGCCATAAAGATGTTCAACAGCAATTAGCTTTTATTGTTCTCATCTCACTTATGTGTATAGGAGCCATCAAAATGTAAAATGTACACATCCTCTGACTTAGCAACTCCCCTTCTAGGAATTTATCCCCACAGATGTGTTCACGCGTGGGTGCAAGGACACATGTACATGGATACTAATTTGCAGCATGATTTAAAGCAGCAAAATAATGGGCACAAACTAAATATGAGACTGGTTAAATAAATAAGGATACAGCCGTATAGCATACGGCAGGGCAAGCACTTGGAAGATAACCCTGCACATTGATGTGGAGTGATCAGCATATAAAGCAAGATAGGAACAGTGTCTCGAGCATGCTACAAAGTTGTTCTGTTTGGTTTTGTTTTGAGACAGGGTCTCACGCTGTCACCCAGGCTGGAGTGCAGCGGCATAATCACAGCTCACTGCAGCTCACCCCCGGGCTCAATTGATCCTTTCACCTCAGTCTCCTGAGTAGCTAGGACTATAGGTGCATTCCACCATGCCCAGCTGATTTTATTTATTTTTTGTAGAGGCAAAGTCTCATTATGTTGCCCAGGCTGCTCTCAAACTCCTAGACTCAAGCAATCCTCCCAACTCAGCCTCCTAAAGTGCAGGGATTACAGGCATGAAACACTGTACCCAGTCAAGATTTTTTTGTAAAGGGAATATATATTCACATGTGTGTGGCTAAGTGGGTATACACACACACACAGAGACACACACACACAAATCTCTGAAGTAACTAAAGAGATGCATCAGCTAAGCCTCTGTAGTCCCAGCTACTTGGGAAGTTGAGGTGGGAAAATAACTTGAGCTCAGGAGTTCGAGGCTATAGTACGCTATGATCATACCTGAGAATATCCAGCCTGGGCAACATAGTGAGATGGCCCATCTCTTAAAAAAATAAAAAAGAAAGAAAGAAATGGATCAAAGTAGTTGCCACTGGGGAAGGGAACTAAAGTGAGGTGGGGACAAAGGAGAGGCCGTTTTGTACCTTTTCTGCAGCGCTTAACTTTTTTACCCTGTGTATAAAATTATTTTAATGCATGTACACACACTCCCAGTAAAGAATGGTCATCAAAGAATTAACCTTGCCAACACTATGTAACAGTGGCACTTACTGGTAAAATCACTTCCTATCCCAAAGTATATCTTAGAAAAGAAAACCCATAGTTTTCCTGGCATAGCCATTTCAGTTATTAGTCAGGAAATATGTTTATATCAAAGACTCATAAGGAACCCTTCATTGGTATTAGGCCTTCTGAGCGTAAGCCTTAAAAGTACCATCTGGCTGGTAAGTTATGGTTCATTACGGTTTGAATTACAAGCTATAAAAAAGTGAAGAATACATCTATGTGCTTCTGTGGGGTGATCTCCAGCATATAGTTTTAAGTGAAAAGTGCAACGCAGGAAAAAACGGTGCAGAGTATGCTACCATTTCCCTAAGAAGGGGAGTGGATTACAAAGACATACAGCTTTACTTACATCTAAATGAAAAGATAAACCGAGGAAAAAAAAAAAAAAGATAAACCAAGAAAAAAAGAATGAATGGTTACCATAAGGGAAATAAGTGAACAGGCTACAGTGGACAGAAATAGAATTAGATTTCTCTAATCAGTGGTTTTCAACCAGAGTGATTCTGCCCCTGCCCCCAAGAGATATTTAACAATATCTGGAGGTACTTTTAGTGTCACAATTCGGCAGGGGTGAGGGGGTGATACTGGCATCTAGTGGGCGGAAGCTCCCATACACAGCAAAGAATGATCTGTTCCCAAATGTCGATAGCACAGATTATATATTTGATAAGGAACTTACATCTAGAACATATAAAGAACACTTACAACTCAGTAATAAAAATACAAATACCCAAATTTTAAAACAGACAAAGGATGTGAATGGACATTTCTCCAGAAAAGACATACAAGTGGCCAATAAACACATGAAAAGATGCTCAACATCCTCAGCCGTCAGGCAACTGCAAATCGAAGCCACAATGAGACACCACTTCACATCCACTAGGATGGCTATCATCAGAAAGACAGAAATAACAAATGTTCACAAGGATATGGAGAAATTAGGGCCCTCATACATTGTTGGCAGGAAATTAAAATGTTGCAGCCACTTTGGAAAACAGTCAGGCAGTTCCTCAAAGAGTTAAACACAGAATTACCATATGACCCAGCAATGCCTCTCCTGGTGAAATGAAAACATACGTCCACACAAACACTTACACATGAATGTTCACAGCAGCATTACTCACAATGCCAAAAGGCAGAAACAATGCAAATGTCTATCAATGGATCAATAAAATGTTGCATGTCCATATAATGAAATAATTGGCAATAAAAAGAAACAAACTACTGTTTGTTACATGTTACAACATAGATAGACCTTGAAAACATTATCTTAAGTAGAAGCAACCAGCCCCAAAAGGCTACATATTGGATGATTCCATTTATATGAAAGGATTCAAATAGGCAAATCTATAAAGACAGAAACTAGACTAACGGTTTCCTGGGGCTGGTGGGGATAGGAGGCACAGGCATGTCAGCTAAGGCGTGTGGGGTTTCTTTTTGGAGTAATGAAAATGGCCCAAAATTGATTGTAATGAGAGTGGCACAGATCTGTGAATATGCTAAAAACCATTGGATTATACAGTTTTCTGTTTGTTTGTTTGAAACAAAGTCTTACTCAGTCGCCCAGGGCTGGCGTGCAATGGCACAATATTGACTCACTCCCAGGTTCAAGCAATTCTCCTGTCAGCCTCCCGAGTAGCCGGGATTACAGGCATGCACCACCACACCCGGGCAATTCTTTATATTTTTAGTAGAGACGGGGTTTCACCTTGTTGGCCAGGCTAGTCTCAAACTCCTGATCTCAAGTGATCCACTCGCCTCGGCCTCCCAAATTGTTGGGATTACAAGCGTGAGCCACCGAATCCAGCTGGATTATACAGTTTAAATGGCTAAATTCTGTGGTCTATGAATTATATCTCAAAAGAGCTATTTAAAAATACAATTGTGATTCTGAGGTGTGAGCTCCATTAGAAGTAGGTGCCCAGCATCAGGGACACGACTGGGTGTGCACAGGCGGTTGGCGAACAGGCTGACTGAAGGCCAACCATCACCTTGCAGAACGCGCTCTGTTAGTGGTGAGCACAGTAGCACAGGGCAGAAGGCAAAGGCAGGGAAAGCAAAGAGGTCAGGAAAGGCTTCCCCAGATAAATAGGAAGTTGTTGGTAACTGAGTCATTGTTGTTAATTAAATTCTTCATTGGTTTTATTGAGATTCCAGGAGGAGAGAGATTTTAGGCAGGGGTACATCTCAGGTATAGGGAACCTCAGGCTGCATCTGAAAAACTAGTTTAGACTATCCAAACATAAAACTCAAGGCATGCAGCCTGGGCAACATAGTGAGACCTCGTCTCTACAAAAAATTTTTTAAAAATGAAGTGGGAAGATTGTTTGAGCCCAGGAGGTCTAGGCTGCAGTGAGCCATGATCGTGCCACTGCACTCCAGCCTGAGTGACAGAGACCTTGCCTCAAAAAAAACACAAAAAAGCAAAAAACTCAAAGCCTGGGAGGAATCAGGACGCCTTCGGATGAATCAGCAAAGCAGCAGGTGACAGAGTGCAATGGCTTTGGGACCCAGCCCAGAATCCTGGACTGAATATTTTAAGTGAAAGAAACTGATGGAAGATGAGGACTGGCAGCAGAATCACTGTCACTTTTGTTTTAGAAAGACAGATGACCACCAGTGTGGAAAATAGGCAGACTGGCGATGAGTCTGGAGACAGGACAGCTCATTTATTTATAGTAGATGTTATAAATTGTTGTCACAGCTGATTTAATCCTTTCCTAAACATTAAGCTTGAAAGCTGCAACAGAGAAATCAGTCCAGGACTGTGACTGTCTTTAAGGCACAGCTGAGAAGACGGACTATCAAGAACAAAGGAATTTAATGTAAGAATAATATAATTTAAAATGTTCTGGTGTTGTAAAGAAAAAATAATAATAGCCCCCCACATATACTTTTTTTTTTTAAGAGGGAGTCTCGCTCTATTGCCCAGGCTGGAGTGCAGTGGCACAATCTCAGCTCACTGCAACCTCCACCTCTCAGGTTCAAGCAATTGTCCTGCCTTAGCCTCCCAAGTAGCTGAGATTACAGGCACCCACCACCACACCCAGCTAATTTTTGTATTTTAGTAGAAATGGGGTTTCACCATGTTGGCCAGGCTAGTCTTGATCTCCTGACCTCAAATGATCTGCCCGCCTTGGCCTCCCAAAATGCTGGGATTCCAGGCATGAGCCACCATGCCCAGCCAATAGCCCCTTGTGAATTTAGGCAAGAGCCAGGACCCAAATGACAATGACTGGGACCCAGAAAAAAACAAGCCACTTACCAGAGGAATTGGGGTATCTGGCCTAAATTCGGTGGAATCAGCATCTGAAGATTAAGAAAAGAGTTCAGTAATTCACCAATAGTGCTGAATAATACTTGAAGAGAGAATTTTTTTAAATAAATGGTCATTAACAAATCTCAAACTTACCTTTCAAGTTAAGGCAGTTTCTTGCAAACTCAATCACTGCTAGTTGCATCCCAAGACAAACTCCTATTTTAAAAAGCACATATGCAAAGCAAATGAACACAATTTGTATTTGTTCATATTTTCTATTCATTTGTTGACTGCCTGTCTCCCCCATCTAGAATGCAGACTCCCAGAGAGCCTGTTTTGCTCTGCCTGTTTTGCTCCCTGCTGTCCCCTCAGAACAATCCCCGACAGAGAGCAGGGCAGGGGCTTAGACTTTCAAGAAGCCACCTAAAGCCCAGAATTGACAAAGAAGGAACACAAGGTCAGAAAAGGGCAGGGTCAACTGGGTGCAGTGGCTCATGCCTGTAATCTCAGCACTTTGGGAGGCCAAGGTGGGCAGATTACTTAGGTCAGGAGTTCGAGACCAGCCTGGCCAACATTGTGAAACCACATCTCTACTAAAAATATAACAATTAGCCAGGTTTGGTGGCATGTGCCTGTAATCCCAGCTACTTGGAAGGCTGAGGCAGGAGAATCACTTGATCCCAGGAGGCGGAGGTTGCAGTGAGCCAATATTGCACTATTGCACTCCAGCTTGGGCGACAAGAGTGAGACTCGGATGGAGGGAGGGAGGGAGGGGTCCATTGGACAAATCTGCCACCTTCTAAATCTGCCACCTTCTAGATTTGTCCCTGAGTCGAGGCATCTCAGTGGGCTACAGCACCTGATTCCTTCACCCTAACTCAGAGGGAGTTTCCTGGGCTAAGATCTCCCACTCCTTCTCACGGTGACTTCACAACCATAAAGACAGGATTGGCCAGAGGGTGAGCACCTACAGGACGTCAGGCTACTAACCCACAGGACAACCCCATAAGCTTCACTGTAAGGAAAAGTAGCAGTGGGGGGGTTGGACACTCCACAGTGGCCCTGAGCATGGTGAGCAGTAGGGAAGGTGACACATAATGGGACTAAACAGAGGGCTTGGTGATGAAGGAAGGCAGACGTGTGTCGCCCAAGCCTGTTGCCACAGACCCACATCCGCCTTCACTGCAGTCCACCAATTCTCTCCACTAAACAAATGCCGAAGAGCATCCCAGATGCTCCTCTGATAGATACATAAGAAGTACACAGAGGAAACAAAGAAGAGAGCAATCAATATATCAGGGACGCCAGAACAAATGTCAATAAGTAGGAAACAGCTGAGTCCTGGGGGGCGGGGTGGTGGTGAAGGGGATTTCAGAAAGTTCCATATGGCTGGGACATAAAGAGAGGCTATGCTAGAGGGAAAGCTAAAGACCTGCACATCATTCCATACCATTAAAATCACCTGAGGAACATTAGCCATATTTAGACAAAAACTTCAAAAGAAAACAATGGCCCCGATGAGCTTAGACCAGTAAAACAAAACAATGTACCTGGGTAACTACTCCAGGCTTCTATTTTGAAAATGGATCCTAAGAGGAGACAGCCTAAGAAGCTAATCAAAGAGCAGGTAATGGGGGAAATAAATTGTCTGCTGGCAGTAAAAGCCTATCCACTCGGCTCATAAACCCACCCAGCTGTCCACTGCACAGTGGGAAACAGCCTCTCCGCAGTCCCCCTCCTGCCTGAATCCCCAGCTACAGGGCTGCCTCTCCCACATCAAGGTCCCATTTCCTCTGGTTTCCCTGGCACAGAAGCCACACTTCACAACTTGAACAAAAACATTAAAAAGGCTCAACTCGGCTGGGCACGGTGGCTCAAGCCTGTAATCCCTGCACTTTGGGAGTTCGAATCGGGTGGATTGCTTGAGCCCAGGAGTTCGAGACCAGCCTGGGTAACATAGCAACACCCCCATCTCTGCAAAAAAAAAACACACACAAACACACACAAAAATTAGCCAGGCACAGTGGTATGCGCCTGTAGTCCCAGCTACTCTGGAGACTGACGAGGGAATTGGAGAAGGTAAGCATAGTTACATATGAAGCCTTCTCCCAGCCTCTGCTACCCAGCCAGAATAGCAGCAAGTTTTCCTAGGGTGAGAAACGTTTTCTGTAAAGGGCTGGATAGTAAAGATTCTAGCCTCTGCAGGCCACAGGGTCTGAAACTCTGACACTGGACCACAAAAGCAGCCATAGACAATATGTAAACAAACTGGTGTGGATGTGTTTCAATAAAGTTTTATTTATAAAAACAGGCTGTGAGCCAGATTTAGAATATAGTTTGCTGAATCTACAGCAGACTATTTGGCACCTGAACTTTCAAATCTGAGTTCACATCTTTACAGTAACAAACCTTTGGTGTTACCCCTCCTAGGTGTCAAAAATCTAATAAACTCATGATTAGGGTCAATAAACATGAGTCTTACCCAGAAAAGGAATCTTCTTTGTCCTTGCCCAAGAAATTGCCTGCAGTTTTCCCACTGTTCCTCTGACTCCGAAGCCTCCAGGCACAAGAATACCACTGAAATCAACACAAAATGAGAGTAAACTTGACTATTCATTATTTTTATTTTTAAAAATAGTGTTTTCAGCCATTCATGCAATGCTTGGTGTAATCACTAGTGACTATGCTCAAGCTCTATTTTCAGAATCAATTCTATGACTTCACACCCTAAACTTTTTTTCTGAAATCTTCCCAATGTTATGAAGAAGTTGTAACAATTTCACACAACTGACCTTAATATATATTTTATGATAAGTCTTTGTGGCATCAGAGCATACTAAATGGGAAACAATTCAATTAAGAATGCCACTGGGAAAAGAAACAATGAAAATAGCTTAAGGTTCTTTCAAAGCACTCTTATAAAAATGTTAAGATCTCTTTGCCCATCAGAAAGAGTTAAATTGGAAAAATCAGCCTAAGATTTCAAATACTAATTAAATAATGGCAAATGAAAATTTCTTGGCTAGAAGACTTTAGAGCCTAGGCAAACACAACAGAAACAGTTCAACAGAAAACCCAGGAAGATCATTCTAACCTCATGATGCAATGCTGCCCCCAAGAGTTCTGTCAATTAATAATAAAACCTAAAATCTAAGACATGTGGAAAAGAAAATATAATCAAGAAAGGGCTGCTCTGTCTATGGAGTAGCTATTCTTTATTTCTTTACTTTCCTAATAAACTTGCTTTCACTTTACTCTATGGACCCACTCTGAATTCCTTCTTGAGTGAGATCCAAGAACCCTCTCTTGGGGTCTGGATTGGGATCCCTTTCTGGTAACATCTTTCTAGCGACCACAGAATGGACAATACTGAGAAAATCCCTGACCCAAAGGCTAACTCTGGGTATGTGGTGGGGTCTGGTAACAGCTTTCTAGCAAAACATGGAAGGAACAACACTGAAGAGGCCCCAGACCCAAAGGAAAATCATCTGTCTGCACCAATTGGCTGAGTTTGGGTAAGTGGGGTGCATATACCTGGGTAAAAGATGGGATTGGGTTAGAGGCCCAACTTAGGGGAGTTAAGAGTCTCTCCTAAGACAGAGAGGGTTAAAGGCTCCTTTCAATAAAAGGCAAAGATGCTTGACTGACCTTGAGTTTGAGGCATAACTTAGGAAGTTTAGAGTCCTTCCTAAGATTTAGGGAGTTAGAGGCCTCTCTCAGTAAAGTCCTTCTCTGCTAAGAATGGGTTTGGCACTATGGGATGTTAACTGCTATTCTCTTTGGATTAATCTGCCTTGCATTCTATCTGCAGACAGCATAACTATCTGCTGATAGTTATAGGTGACAGAACTAGGCATGTACAGGACCAAAAGGGGTAACTTGAGAGCTGATGAGACTGCTGGAAAAGATCCCTTCAAGCCCGACAAGTGGCTGCCTGAACTCTTCAGTGTCGCTGCATCGGGTGCATCTTTCTCTGGCCTCCCTGAGCTCTGTGACTTCCCCACCGTGCCTCAGGCAATGCTTTTCTCCCTCTCTCTCCTTTCCCTTTCTTATCTTTTCTATTACTCAGGGTGACCGTCTTGCCCAGAGACAAGTTGAAATTCCTGGTTGGAGGTTGGATTAATAATGATAGCGCCCAACTGGGGGCAAGTTTGAGCCCTGCCAGTGTGATATTGGGTGCTAGGCAGGGTGGCTAATGTCTATGTTTTATCACACATATTTTGCTCTGGCCAGAACAGAAAAAGATAATTTTCCTTTGTGTTGCAGCTTGGCCCCCAGGGCTGTGGTGCAGGCAGCTGGGTACCTAGGGCTGCTCAAGGAAAGGGAACCCAGAAGCCCAGCATTCTGACAAAACAGTAAGAATTTCTTACCAGTCAGACTTCTGGCCTCTCTCTCTCTCTCTCTCTGTGCAAATCGGTTGAATGAACAGTAAAAAAAAAATCACCGTTTATCTCCTCTGTAAAGTTTTGATTAACGGAAAAAGGATTTGTGAGGCTACTCTTAAGCTATAGTGAATCTGATATGCTTTATGTGTCTTTCTGTATTGTGCTGTCATAATGAGGGGTACCTTAGGATAGAATGTGGGCCTAGGACTCCTGTAGGCTGTCCAAGCCACCCCAGCAAACTGGGCAATAACAAACTTTGCTGCAGGTCCTTGAAGAAAAACTGCATAAGGGTTTCCTCTCTCATCTTGCTTTATGTCCTTGGGAGCTTGACCTTGTAACTACGTGGCAGTACTTTCTCTTGGTCTTTGCCATCACAATGGCGGCCCGGACTCAGGCCTAGCTTAGGGGATGAGCCTATCTGATTGATATTTGGGTGCTTACAACTACTGGATCTTCTTCTGTCTGTGTTTATATGTGTTGTGTGTGTGATGTAAAAAAAAAAAAAAAAAAAAAAAAAAAAGAGCTTTAATTGGTTTAAAAACAGAAAGTGCTTAAATTAAATATTTTGTTGGAAAAGTAAAAACTGTAATGCCTTTTAGTTCACATAACTTTAGTAATTTTTGGGTAATAACAGTTTTAAAGATTATTGGGAAAATAAAGACATTTGGACTAAATTATGCAGGTCAGATATTGGGTTTCTTCGATACTTTAACATCATAAACTGCCTCTTTGACTTTTGAAAATTGTTCAATTTACCTACTTTGGAACATTAAATTCTAGATAAGGCCTGGGGACATGTTGAAAGCCATGCCCTCTAGCTATGCTGGAAAAAGTCAGACCTTATCTAGTGTTCTAGGCTCCATACCTAATACATAATTAAAATCGCTTACTAACCAGGTTTTTCACCAAAAGTAAAAGTTGCTAAGAGTTAACAGTGTAACATGTAATTGAGACTACTGAAGAAACAGTTTATATGCAATTTGTATAAGGAAAGTGAAATATGTTTTTAGTAAAAGATTAAAAGAAGGCATGGAAACGCGAATTTTTTTTGCATAGATTAAAAGGTTAAAGGATTGTTTTTTGGTTTTTTGTTTTTGTTTTCAGACAAAGTTTCACTATTGTTGCCCAGGCTGGAGTGCAATGGCGGGATCTCGGCTCACTGCAACCTCCTCCTCCCAGGTTCAAGCGATTCTCCTGCCTCAGCCTCCAAAGTAGCTGGGATTACAAGCATGCACCACCACACCCGGCTAATTTTGTATTTTTAGTAGAGATGGAGTTTCACGTTAGTCAGGCTGGTCTCAAACTCCTAAACTCTGGTGATCCACCTGCCTCAGCCTCCCAAAGTGCTGGGTGTGAGCCATCATGCCAGTCTAAAGGATTGTTTTAAGGTAGATAGGATAAAGCTGAAAGTCTGAGCAAGTTGTAGGTTTGTGAAGGATTAATCTTATAAAAGAAAGTATGCATGTGTACATTGGCTAAGGTTAAAGGCGTATTCAGGTTTTCTGTAAATTGAACGTTTAAATAAAAGCACAACAGGTTTCTCTTAGAACACTGATCTTCTCTTTAACAAAAATTTGCAAAGGGGCCAGGCGTGGTGGTTCATACCTGTAATTCCAGCACGTTGGGAGGCTGAGGTGGGCGGATCACTTGAGGTCAGGAGTTTGAGATCAGCCTGGCCAAAATGATGAACCACGTGTCTACTAAAAATACAAAAAGTAGCCAGGTATGGCAGCACATGCCTGTAATCCCAACTACTCAGGAGGCTGAGGAATGAGAATCACTTGAACCCAGGAGGTGGAGGTTGCAGTGAGCCAAGATCGTGACACTGGACTCCAGCCTGGGCAACACAGCAAGAGACTCTGTCTCAAAAAATAAATAAATAAATAAACAAACTTGTAAAGGATTATAGAAGGCTTGTAAAAATCTTACCTTATGGTCAAACTGATTAAAATTGGATAGATTTATCTATAAGATTTTATTAAAAATTGGGTTTGACATCAATTTAATGCACTAATACGATGGGAAAGTTTGGCTTATTTGGTATAAAAATCATACAAAAAGCACTGTCAAATATGAAATGGTGTTTGACTTTCTTTGGGTTGTATTTGTATAAATGTGTTATTGGTATGTGTTCCAAAATTATGAGAAACTTCTATAATTCTAATATGACTTAGTGTATGTTAATAATTATCATTGTTATGTAAAATTGTTGTAAGCCACAGATGTAACAAATTCCTAGTCAATTGTGGCTTTAATAGTGGCTGCCCTAAAACATTTTGTCATCCACAGATAACTGCATTGTTTTGGTTCTCTTTAGAAGGTAGTTACTAATCAACTATAGAACTCTAACAGGTGTTCTTAAATGCAGGTTTCTGATAACTTTAGAGATTGTGACAGCAGATTGGAGGATAATCTTTCAGGATTCTCATGGAGAGCTGAAATGTATATGACTATCAGGCAGAACAGGAGTTAGCTACATGGAATGAACTAATAGAAAATTAATCTTTTTGACTTTGCTTAAAATGTTGCTGATCCTTTCATTTTTCAGTCAAAAAAACGGTTCTTTTGAGCTATATACAGCTTATAACAATTGAATACAGTATACTCCTATGAACAAAATTTGGAAAATATTTGTTTCTGTCTACCTCATTTGTCCAGGATTTGGAAACTATTTGCGAGTACTCTTGACTTATGGCAATATAGTTATTTGCATAAGTACAATAAGAATCTATTTTCTTTTGCAACAGGACACAACTGGAGAGAGAAACTGGTTATATTACCAAGGCTTTTACTGGAATGGTGTGCTTTCCTTTAAAGAATCAAACTTAAATTGTAAAGCCAATACGAGCCAGCCCTTGGGAAAACTGGCCTCATACCTTGTCTACACAGTCCCTGTACAGGGTTTCTGACCTGTGGTAACTAAAGAATGTCACTTTCTGACAGGTCCAGGAGCCTCAAGTTATCTTGGCACCTCAAAAGGAGAGGAATTTACCCAGTTCATAGGTATTTGAGGATACAAATGTATGGCAGGGCTCGGCTTTAAAAATGCTCTTATCTGAGATTCCTTACAGAATAAAGTTCCATCAAAGCCAATTTTAAAAGCCCATGTGAAAAATAATTACCCTTGCTGTACTTTATACAAATAATCAGGCCAAGTATAATAAAGCAAATCATTCTTATTATGATTTGTCTTTAGCAAAAATAGGAAACTGGAGAGAGAAAAAATTATGTTTCAAGAACTATGGTATACTTGTTATTATTATAGATTCTAATCTCATTGGTTGTTTTTGAAGTTTTTTTCTGCAATTTAGACTGACCTTGCTTATTCCTGTGAAACAATCAGTGATCTCTGACTGCAGCTCAGAAAAAAACAAGAGGGATGGGTAATGTAAAAATTTGGATCAATATCCTAATTCTGGATATGCATTGCAATCAGCTAGCAACCACATATCAGCTTGGTTCCAACAGTCGCCCAGTTCATGGAAAGCCTTCTAATTTAGTTTACTTGGGATAACTTTCTGCTTTACTGTTGTGGAATATATTGCTGTTGTACTCTTTGTATAGGAATGCAGAATAAGTTTATTCAATGTTTTCTTAAATTAAACATTTATCAACTTTCCAGATATCACCTTTTGTCAGAACTCAGAGTTGTGAATGGCCCTCACCACCTGACACTTTCTGACTCTACCCCAATACAAGAAACTCCAATAATTAGGCAGGAATGTCATTGCCCCTATTCAACATGAAGAAGTTACAGAAGATGGATCTTCGTCCCTCTGCAATCCTTAGTATTAAGGGTTCTCTTATAAAAGGGAGAGGGGAAATGTTGAACCAGAGCAACTCCATCTTAAATAGGGGCTGAGTAGAATAAGGCTGAGACCTACTGGGCTGCATTCCCAGATGGTTAGGCATTGTAAGTCACAGGATGAAATAGGAGGTCAGCAAAAGATACAGGTCATAAAGACTTTGCTGATAAAACAGGTTGCAGTAAAGAAGACAGCTAAAACCCACCAAAACCAGGATGGCAATGAGAGCAACCTTTGGTCATCCTCACTGCTACACTCCCACCAGCGCTATGACAGTTTACAAATGCCATGGCAACATTAGGAAGTTACCCTATATGGTCTAAAAAGGGGGATGCATGTATAATCCATCCCTTGTTTAGCATATAACCAAGAAATAACCATAAAAGTGGGCAACCAGCGGCCCTCAGGGCGACTCTGCCTATGGAGTAGCCATTCTTTCATTCCTTTACTTTCCTAATAAACTTAATTTCACTTTTTAAAAAGAGAGAGAGAGAGAGAGAGAAAGGCTGTCATTCTTGTACTTTAACTTTGTATATATGACATTCATCTCTGCATCTTTCAGGAGAATCAACACACTTTCCCTCCAGTACAGTATCCCCATTCTCCCCAAATAAAACCATTTCTACGCACATGCCACCAGCATTAACATGGCACATTTAAAATCAATGCAGTATGAATATGGCACAACCACCTGCAAAAACCACAAGTACTCCAAACTACCTTTCAAAATGTATGAAAATTAGCAATTAGGGTAAACTGAATCATTACAAAAAAAGTACAATGGTGCCGTCCTAACTGGTGTGCGTGGGCCGTGGTACTCACTCAGCTTTGCATAGCTTCTGCCAAGCTTCATGGTATCTCACAGGGTCCTCGGCTTCAGTGATCGCCTCCAGATCAATGGAGTCTATGTACTAAAAAACATCCAACAGATTAAAAGAATTTTTAAGAAAAATAAACACTCAAAAATACTAGAGCCATCTAATACTATGACACATTATTCAATACTTATTGTGCAAACATTGTACTGGGCACTGGGGGTAGAAAAACACAGTCTCTGTTTTGTGGCTCTTATAATCTTGCAGAAAGATTACAAAACCAGATAAACAGGCATCTACACTATCCTGTGATAATGGCTGTGACAGACAAAGAAGAGAATAATGCAGAAGTAACTAGGGGTCGACTGCGTGAGGTGGCACATGCCTGTAGCCCCAGCTACTCATGAAGCTGAGGCGGGAAGATCCTTTGAGCCTGGGAGGTCCAGGCTGCAATGATCCTCGATCATGACACTGCAGTCCAGCCTGGGTGACAGAGTAAGACCCTGTCTCAAAAAAAAAAAAAAGAGCAACTAGGAGGTCACTAGAACTGGACAATGGAGGAAAGACAGGAAGGACCGATAACAAGGAAGAGCTCTGGGGAGGTAACGTTCAAGAAGCCAGTCCAGAAGAGAGCAGAAGCAGGATGAGCACGTGTGTGATGAGAAGCAGCAGGGAGGGCATGCAGAAGACAAAGAGAGGAGGGGAAAAGGGTATGAAATCTCCAGCAGGCCAGGCGCAGTGGCTCACACCTGTAATCCCAGCAGTTTGGGAGGCCCAGGCGGGCGAATCACCTGAGGTTAGGAATTTGAGACCAGCCTGAACAATATGGCGAAACCCCATCTCTACTAAAACTACAAAATTAGCTAGGCGTGGTGGCGCACACCTGTAATCTCAGCTACTCAGGAGGCTAAGGCAGGAGAATCACATGAACCCAGGATGCGCAGGTTGCAGTGAGCCAAGGCATCGCCACCGTACTCAAGGCTGGGCAACAGAGCGAGACTCTATCTCAAAAAATGAAAAATAAATTTATTTATTTTTATTTAATAAAAATTAAAAGGGCCCTCCAGCAAAGGAACCGCTTATATAAAACCTCAGAGGAAAAAAAGAGAAAGTGGTTACTGTGAGACCCTCAAAAAAAGCCCCACCCAGCAAGAGAACAGACCTGATTAGTTGAAGGAAGGCAAGGGACAAGTCTGAGAAGCCATGACACAAAGCTTAAACTTGAAGCCACTTGCAATGGTTGAATGTCTGTGTTCCTGCAAAATTCCTATGTTGAAATCCGAACTCCCAAAGGAATGGTATTATGAGGTGGGGACTTTGGGAGATGATTTAGGTTAAGAGGGCAGAGCACATAAGAATAAGCTTAGTGCCCCTATAAAAGAGGCCCCAAAGACCTCCCTCACCCCTTCTACCACATGGCTATATAACCAGAGGTTGGTCCTCTGCACCCAGAAGAGGGCCCTCACAAGAACCTGGCCACACGCTGGCACCCTGATCTTGGACTTCCAGCCTCCAGAACCGTGAGAGAGAAATGGCAGTTGTTGGTAATCCACCTGATCTATGGTACTTTGTTACAGCAGCCTGAATAGACTGAGACACCACTGAAAGATCTTAAGAAAAGGGATAACAGGAACAGAGAGAGATTTTACAAAGATCACTCTGGTAGAGTGTGACAAAGGCAGGAAAGACTGGCGGCTGGAAACCAGCCAGGAAGCCACTGTAGCAAACCAGGAGAGTTAGACAGATGCAGCCCAAACTTGGAAGATGACAAGGCCACGATTCTAGCAGTACTTAGGAGAAGCTAATGTCAATGAATCATCACGTGTAAAATTCCAATATATGTAACAGTCCCTCTCTATCTATATCAGTTTAGTATTTCTTCTGTAAAAATGACTATCCTGGCCAAGCGTGCTGGCTCACATCTATAATTCTAGCACTTTGGGAGACCAAGGTAGGCGGATCACTTAAAGCCAGGTGTTCAAGACCAGCCTGGCCAACATGGCAAAACCCTGTCTCTACTAAAAATACAAAAATTAGGTGTGGTGGCGGGCACCTGTAATCCCAGCTACTCAGGAGGCTAAGACACAAGAATTGCTTGAACCCAGGAGGTGGAGGTTGCAGTGAGCCAAGACTACGCCAATGCATTCCACCCTGCGAGACAGAGTGAGACCCTGTCTCCAAAAAAAAAAAAAAAACTATCCAGGCCGGGCACGGTGGCTCACGCCTGTAATCCCAGCACTTTGGGAGGCCAAGGCAGGTGGATCACGAGGTCAAGAGATCGAGACCATCCTGGTAAACATGGTGAAACCCAGTCTCTACTTAAAAAATACAAAAATTAGCTGGGCGTGGTGGCACACGCCTGTAATCCCAGCTACTCAGGAGGCTGTGGCAGGAGAATTGCTTGAACCCGGGAGGCAGAGGTTGCAATGAGCTGAGATTGCACCACTGCACTCCAACCTGGCACCTGGTGACAGAGAAAACTCTATGTCTCAACAAAAAAAAAAAAAAAAAAAAAAAAAAAAAACCTATCCAAATAAACCTTAAGGTACAAATTTTTAAAGGCTTTATAAAATGTATACGTCACGGCAATTTTTCCATTGTCTTTTTCTTTTTTTATATAACGGGGTGGGTGACTTGGAGGACTGGAAGGAAGGGGAAGTCAACTATTCCTTAGAAAGCCAAAAATAAAAAGAGATTAGGGGCCAGGAGTAGTGGCTCATGCCTGCAATCCTAGCACTTTAGGAGGTTAAGGCAGGAGGAATTGCTTGAGGAATTCGAGACCAGCCTGGGCAACAGAGCCAGACTCCGTCTCTATAAAAATTAAAAATAATAACAAAATACAATAAAAAATTTAAAAAGTAATTAGGAAAGAAAGAGGTTAAAAAGAGGAGTGAGAAAAGGCAGCTAGGTCCTAAGCCGGTGTCAAAGTAGAAGTCATTAAATTTCTTTAACATATAAATGGATCTTTTTACTCATTATACAAAGTTTTTGCCATTTAAGTCAAGATGATGAGGCTTGCTTAAACCATGATATGCCCATATTGAATATCATTAAATATAAATATGAAATAGATATATAAATATATGTATCCAACTGGTAACGAGTGGGATTTCAGGGAACAGAAATCTGCTTTCTTTATTTTACATTTCTCCTTTGTTTATTTTGTTTTGTTTTGGTTTTCGGAGACAGGATCTCAATCTGTCACCCAGGCTGGAGTGCAGTGGTGCAATTATAGCTCACTGCAGTATCAAACTCCTGGCTCAAGCGATCTTCCTGCCTCAGCCTCCCAATTAGCTGAGACTACAGGTGCATGCCACCACACCTGGCTAACTTTTTAAATTTTTTTGTAGAGATGAGGTCTCCCATTGTTGCCCAGGCTGGTCTTCAACTCCTGGGCAACAAGCAATCCACCTGCCTCAGCCTCCCAAAGGTCTAGGATTACAGGCGTGAGCTACTTCGCCCGGCTTATGCTTTGTTTAAATGTTTTACTCCAAACATATACCACTTCCATTCTTATATGGAAGAATATACTCAAGCTACGTAAGATAACTACACATCTGTTATCCCACAATACTGAGTTTTCAAAACAAATAACCACTTTGCTAGATATCATTCTTCCAAGTTAAAAGGGGAATATAGTATTTTAAAATTCCAGATTCTGTTCCAATGCTAAAGGGAAAAAATGTTCTATTATTTTCTTGTTAGGCAATTACAATGTATTTAAAGGAGCATGACAAGTATGCTCATTAATTTGGATATGCAAAGCCTAATTTCAGAAATGTGCCTTAAACCTACATGTAGAAAACAGTTTCCACAGGCTGGGTGCAGTGGCTCATGCCATTAATCCCAGAAATTTGAGAGGCCAAGTGTAGCAGATCACCTGAAGTCAGGAGTTCGAGACCAGCCTGGCCAACATGGCGAAATCCTATCTCTACTAAAAATACAAAACTTAGCTGGGCATGGTGATGGGAGCCTGTAATCCCAGATACTTGGGGTATCTTGAGGCTGAGGCACAAGAGTTGCTTGAACGGTGAAGACAGAGGTTGCAGTGGGCCAAGATGGTGCCATTGCACTCTAGCCTGGGTGGGAGAGGAAGGCTCCCTCTCAAAAAAGAAAAGAGTTTACACTGCAAGCCTCGCCGCTGCCCTTGGAAAGGCCTGCTACAAGATGGGGCCTTGGCTAGTTCTGGAAACTCTGATTTTGGGAAGAGGCTCACTGTGCCAAAAGTGTCTGTACAGACAACATGGTTTCTGCTAAGCATGCTTTCTTTCTGGGAGGCTCACATTTTGGGACATGCTAAGCAGAGGGTGCCTATGTGCCAGCCCCCAATAAAAACCCTGGGCTCCAAGCCTTCAATGAGCTTCCTTGGTAGATGTCAGTTTGCATGCATTATCACAACTCACTGGACTCCACCAGGGGATGGCTCTTAGAAGCCTGCGCCTGGTTACCCCCAGACTTCACCCTGCACGATTTTCCCCTGGCTGATTTTGCTTTGCATTCTCTGGCTGTAATAAATCTTAGCTATGAGTATAACTATATGCTGAGTCCTGTGAGTTCTTCTGGTGAATCATAGGTCCTGGAGGTGATCTCAGAGACCCTTTAACAAAACTTGTCTCTCTGGAACATGTGCTATTGGCATGAATTACTGAGAGAGCCAAAAGACCAGGCCAGGACTTACCATCAGATTCAGCTTGTGGTTGATGGCCAGGGCTGAGTGTTCCAGGGCTTTGAACACAGAGGCGTAGCAATCTCTCAGCTTGGTATATTTGCCAACCAGGGCAATGGAGCATGTTTTCTGTAGCCTTTCATACCTGGGAAGGAAAACAAACTCAAAGGTTATATGCACGTAACAGAACATCATAAACAGAACAAAGGCAGCTGCTGCTCTTATTGCAAGGCACTTCTGAAAGCCTTAGGAGCAGCTATCGTCCCAGCTACTCAGGAGGCTGAGGCAAGAGAATCACTTAAGCCCAGGACTTTGAGATCAGGCTGGGCAACATAGTGAGACCCCATCTCTACAAAAAATACAAAAATTAACTAGGTGTGGTGGTGCATCCCTATAGTCCCAGCTATTCAGGAGGCTGAGGTGGGAGGATCACTTGAGCCCAGGAGTTTGAGGCTGCAGTGAGCTGTGATCACACCACTGCCCTCCAGCCTGGGCAACAGAGTGAGACACTGTCTCAAAAAACAAAGAAATTCCAGTGTTGGCTTACATAAGCAGGTACAGATAAAAATTCAAGCACATCAAAGAAAAACTTAAACACCTTAAAAGTAAAAATTGAAAAGCTATCCAAATGTCATAAACACAAGCTGTTCTTAAATTAGTTAATAAGGTGACATTGTATAAGAAAATGCATTCTGCTTGTCAATAGGAAACATTCCAATATTAACTTTATAAGGTGACACTGTGTAAGAAAATGCATTCAAAGTCTCTACATTTAAAATGGTTACATTCCCAGCTTGCCCACCAGAGTCTGGTTATTCATGGCATGCCTGAAGAATAGTGCTAAGAGAACAATTTAAAGTATTACTAGCCATTTAGATCATTTTTATGAGAAAAATTCCATTCTACAGAAGACATTCAATCACATTTTACCATTGGAGACACAATCTTTAGTGTTGCTTTTGTCAGGAAATCTGTTCAAAGAACATGAAAAATATCTGGTCTGGTATTAGGTACATGGAATGTCATCTTGGAGCTGAAGATGTTTTAGGGCTTTGAAGCAAACCCTTCCCCAAACACCTTAGAAAAATGTTACCATGATAACAAATATCCATCTTCAATATTAACATCTGCAAAGAGTGGCCAGGCGCAGTGGCTCACGCCTGTAATCCTGGCACTTTGGGAGGGTGAGGCAGGTGGATCACCTGAGGTCAGGAGTTCGAGACCAGCCTGGCCAACATGGTGAAACCTCATCACCACTAAAAATACAAAACTTAGCCAGGCACGGTGGCGTACACCTGTAGTCCCAGCTACTAGGGAGGCTGAGGCAGGAGAATTGCATGAACCTGGGAGGTGGAGATTGCAGTGAGCTGTGATCATGCCACTGCCCTACATCCTGGGCCACAAAGCGAGACTCTGTATCCATAAAACACATACACACAGACACATCTGCAGAGTGTACGAGAAAAACTTGACCACAAACAGGCTACGTGCAGGAAAAATGCACAAGAAGCTAAGAAGTCAAAACTGACAGGGAAGATAACTTTCTAGAAAGGTGACTAAAATAGCTGAGACAAGACTGCTAACCCTTGAACTCACTACTTTATTTTATGTTACGCTCTGGAGGTTCCATAGCTGTCTGTACCTGACACCATATCTCCATAAAGTATGTAGGTAACAGGCCAGGCAAAATGGCTCACTCCTGTAATCCCAACACTTTGGGAGGCCAAGGCAGGCAGATCACTTGAGATCAGGAGTTCAAGACCAGCCTGGCCAACATGGTGAAACCCCGTCTCTACTAAAAATACAAAAAATTAGCCTCGCGTGGTGGCGCACTCCTGTACTCCCAGCTACTCAGGAGACTGAGGAAAGAGAAGCACTTAAACCCAGGAAGCAGAGGTTGCTGTGAGCCAAGATGGCGCCACTGCACTCCAGCCTGAGCGACAGAGTCAGACCCCATCTCAAAAAAAAAGGATGCAGACAGGCCGAGCGCGGTGGCTCACACCTGTAATCCCAGCACTTTGGGAGGCTGAGGTGGGTGGATCATGAGGTCAGGAGTTCAAGACCAGCCTGGCCAACATGGTAAAACCCCATCTCTATGAGCTGGGCGTGGTGGTGCCCACCTGTAATCCCAGCTACTCGGGAGGCAGAGGCTGGAGAATCGCTTGAACCCAGGCAGCAGATGTTGTAGTGAGCCAAGATCATGCCACTGCATTCCAGCCTGGGTGATAGAGTAAGACTTAGTCTCAAAAAATAAAATAAAATGAGAAAGGATGCAGGTAACAGAAAGTGGGATGACAGTACACCAAGTGGCAGAGATTATGTCAGAGGCAGGCACAGCCGCATTGGAGCACAACAGGTTGGGCCTCATCCCCTTCTCCCTCCTCCATAGACAGAAGGGACAACATCAGCTCTGGCCCTGGAAGGAAGCAGCACTGGAGTCAGTATCACAGGTTCCTCCTTCTGCTCATTCATGGCTGGTCTTCTCAGGGGAGGAGTCACTGGGCAGCAGGTGGGACAGGTGAGTCCACTGAGTCATGCCTACCAGGGAGCTCTCGTTCCCCCTTGGACCTATACTTCCAAGAGCAACCAAGTGTCTCCCTCATGCACCCCACTCAGCCAGCCATCAGCCATCACCAAATGTGAGGCAAGCATCTGATACTACTTCAAGCTGCTGTGTGAGGGGGAAGGAGAGGGGGAGTCCTCTTTGCACGGCCACCCCCAACAGGCAGTTCTCAAGAGAGATGAAGCGGAGGAAGTGGAGAAGTGTGCCCACGTTGACTTCGGGTCCCAAGCAAGCTATCCCCTGTTTAATCAGGGACCCCTGACCCTGAGCAGCACTGGGCCTCCATGATAGAGACTGTTCCTTTGGCCTCTGTTTGCCTCCTTGCACCTCTCTACAGGCTGTACTGAGAGGACTGAAGCTAAAGAATGCACACTCCACACCAGTTAACAACGTTACCACCAACGTGACGCAGAATACCCATGAACAATGACTATCTCCTTTGCTGGAAGACTGTCGACAATTTATTGTGCATTCTTAAATAAATAAAAGAGTATACTTGGATTGTTTGTATTGCAAAGAAAGGATAAAGACTTGAGGTGATGGATATCCCATTTACCCTGATGTGATTATTACGCATTATATGCCTGTACCAAGTATCTCATGTACTACGTAAATACATACACCTACTATGTACCCACAAAAATGAAAAATTAAAGACTGTAGTGAGTTGAACGGTGGCCCCCCCGAAGGAAAGTTGTCCCCAAAAACCTGTGAATGTGACCTCATTTGGGAAAAGGGTCTTTGCAGACATAAGTGAGGCTCTTCAGATGAAATCACCCTGGATTAAGGCCTGTCTTACATCCAATGACAAGCATCCTTACAAAAGAAGAGAAGGGAAGAAGACACAAGTGAGAAGGTGATGTGAAGATGCAGGCCAAAGGCTGGGCATGCTGGCTCATGCCTTTAATCCCAACATTTTAGGAGGCTGAAGCAGGTGGATTGCTTGAGCTCAGGAGTTTGAGACCAGGCTGGGCAACATGGTGAAATCATGTCTCTACAAAAAATACAAAGGTTAGTCAAGCATGGTGGCATGCACCTGTAGTCCCAGCTACCTAAGAGGCTGAGGCAGGAGGATCACTTGAGCCCAGGAGTTCGAGGTCACATTGAGCCCTGGTTGTGCCACTGCACTCCAGCCTGGGTGACAGAGTGAGACTCTGTTTCAAAAAAAAAAAAAAAAAAAAAAGGAAATAAAAGATGGAGGCCACGATTGGAGTGACATGGCCACAAGCCAAGGAACACCGCTGATTGCTAGCACCAAAACCCAGGAGAAAGGGTATGGCAGAGACTCTCCTTCAGAGCCTCCAGAAAGAACCTACCCTGTGGATGTGTTGATTTTGCACTTCTGACCTCCAGGACTGTGAAGGAATAAATTTCTGTTGTGCTTTTTTAAGCTACCCAGTTTGTGGTCATTGTTATGGCAGCCCCCAGGAAACTAATACAAAGACCAAACATTTGGCTTTAAAAAGCACAGAAGTGGGGCCAGGCGCGGTGGCTCACACCTGTAATCCCAGCACTTTGGGAGGCCGAAGCAAGCGGATCACAATGTCAGGAGATGGAGGCCGTCCTGGCCAACATGGTGAAACCCTGTCTCTACTAAAAATACAAAAATTAGCTGGGCATGGTGGCGCATGCCTGTAATCCCAGCTACTCGGGAGGCTGAGGTAGGAGAATCACTTGAACCCGGGAGGCGGAGGTTGCATTGACCCAGGATCGTGCCATTGCACTCCAGCCTGGTGACAGAGCAAGACTCTGTCTCAAAAAAAGAAAAAAAAAATTACAGAAGTGGCCAGGCAAATGGCTTATGCTTGTAATCCCAACACTTTGAGAGGCCGAGGCAGGAAGATCACTTCAGCAACATGGCAAAACCCCATCTCTACAAAAAATACAAAAATCAGTTGGGCGTGGTAGAGCACGCCTGTGTTCCCAGCTACTGAGGATCACTTGAGCCCAGGAGGTCGAGGCTGCAGTGAGCTGAGACTGTACCACTGCACTCCAGCCTGGGCAACAAGCAAGACCCCACGCCAAAAAAAAAGAGAAAGAAAGAAAAAGAAAAAAAGCATAGCTGCATAGAGTATAACTTAGAGCTATTTCCAATAAAATAGTCAAAATATTAAAACTTCTAGTGCTTAAAGTGTATCAGCCCCAACTACTTAGGAAATTTTTGTGAAATGACTGGCACTTTAAGGACTCTAGAGAGCAGGGGTTTTAGAGAATCTAAGCTCAGAAACTGCTCTTTTTTCCTGATTCCAATTGCCCCAGAAAGTCTAAAGCATTTTTTTTCATTGTAAATGAAAGGGCAAGAAAACCTCAATCTGACTAGTCATCTACCAGGGTCAGTGATTTTGTCACCATCAAATCATTTTAATTATGGTTACCAACAACAGCAACCAATATCTATTATAGCACCTGACTCGATGGTAAGTCCTTACAGGGTTTTCTCATAATTGCCACTAGGTAAGCACTGGTATCCCCTTGTTATATATAGATGGGAGAACAAGCAAGAGAAGTTAAGTAATTACCCAAACTCACACAGCTGGTAGGAGGAACCAGGCTCTCAATCTGGAACCTACATATGTAACAGCTGTACCTACTGGCTCTGACCTAAGCTGCCCAAATAGTCCCATCTCAACTACATTTAGTAAAAGGAAACAAGACTGGGCACGGTGGCTCACACCTATAATCCCAGCACTTTGGGAAGCTTAGGCAGGCAGATCACCTGAGGTCAGAAGTTCGAGACCAGCCTGGCCAACATGTTAAAACCCCATGTCTACTAAAAATACAAAAAAAATTAGCTGGACGTGGTGGGATGGCGGGGGGAGGCGCTTGTAATCCTAGCTACTCAGGAGGCTGAAGCAGGAGAATCACTTGAACCCAGGAAGCAGAGGTTGTAGTGAGCCGAGATCATGCCACTGCACTCCAGCCTGGGCAACAGAGCATCACTCCGTCTCAAAAAACAAGAGAAAGAAAGAAAACAAGTGACAGGGACTTAATTTCCCTTTTTTTTGAGACAGTGTTTCGCTATGTTGCTTGGGCTGGTCTCTAACTCCTGGGATCAAGTGATCCTCTCACCTCAGCCTCCCAAATAGCTGAGACTACAGGTACGTGCCACAGCACCCAGCTTAATTTTCATATACCTTCAAATTAGAGAAACTTTGCTCAAATTAATATGGTTGTCTGAAAGTTAGAATCTATCAAGAGTTTTAATAATGATGCTGAATAGTTAATGACTGCAAGATGAAACAAACATAGCACAGCCACAACTTCCCATTCAAAAGGATTTTCTTCAGGAAAAGTTAGCCAAATCTTAAAAACAAGCAAAACAAAAAAGCAGAACAAAAAACCTGCAACATTTAAAACTAAACAGTTTTAAGGCCGGGCACGGTGGCTCACACCTGTAATCCCAGCACTTTGGGAGACCAAGGTGGACAGATCACTTGAGCCCAGGAGCTCAAGATCAGCCTGGGTAACATGGAAAAATCCCGTCTCTACAAAAAAAATACAAGACTTAGCCGGGTGTGGTGGTGCGTGCTTCTAATCTCAGCTACTCGGGAGGATGACTCGAGCCCAGGAGTCTGTGGAGATGGCACCACTGCACTCCAGCCTGGGCAACAGAGCGAGACTCTCGAAATAGAAAAACAAAGAAAAAATTTAAAATACTCAGAAACTAAAAAATGAACTAGTAAATAAATAGAAATCCTTCCAGAATTTAAAAGAAAAAAAAAATCCTTCCAGAAATCAAATTCCTTTAATTCACTTTGGTTTATGTATAACAACAAAATTGAAGGCTTCAGAAATCTTCAACTAATACAGCAAAGCACCATAACAGTGAACTCCATCTTCAGGCATATCCAGACCAAAATGTGCACACATGCAGAATGCCAAATATGACATACCCTTTCAAGTAGGTCTTAGTTCTACTCCCACACTCAAGAATTATTAAAGATTATACAAGTAATTCCTTTCACTTACCTCTCAGCCATATTTCTCCACTTGAAAAGCAAATTACTTGAAGAATCACGAATGGGCAGGTGCAATCTCTCCTTAAAATGTTTCACAATGCCTTGTTCCTCCAAAAGCACAGGAACTCGGTATGTAGAAGAAACATCATGGATACATATGACCTAAGTGATGATGAGAAATCACCATACTTATTCATATCGACTCAAATATGCCACAAGAATGAGACAAAATTCAGGATATACTGATATCACACACTCACACACACACATACACACACACACACACACACACACACACACACACACACGAAACCAGCAACCAAAGCTAGCATCAGAATTTGCACAAGGTTAGTTTTATTTAGTTAGAAAACTCTAATCCCAGAACTTTGGGAGGCCGAGTTGGGCAGATCACCCGAAGTCAGAAGTTCGAGAACAACCTGACCAGCATGGCGAAACCCCATGTCTACTAAAATTACAAAAATTAGCCGGGCCTGGTGACATGCACCTATAATCCCAGCAACTCAGGAGGCTGAGGCAGGAGGATCGCTTGAATTTGGGAGGCAGAGGTTGCAGTGAGCCAACATCGCACCATTGTACTCCAGCCCCGGCAACAAGAGCGAAACTCCATCTCAAAAAAAAAAGAAGTGTACACAAAACAATTGGACAGATCAGGTGTGGTGGCTCACGCCTGTAATCCCAACACTTTGGGAAGCCAAGGCAGGTGGATCACCTGAGTTCAGGAGTTCGAGACCAGCCTGGTCAACAAGGTGAAACCCCATCTCTACTAAAAATACATAAAGTAACCGGGTGTGGTGGCACACATCTGTAATCCCAGCTACTCAGGAAGCTGAGGCAGTAGAATTGCTTGAACCCGGGAGGAAGAGGTTGCACTGAGCCAAGAGTGTGCCACTGCACTCCAGCCTGGGTGACATTAACGACACCCTGTCTCACAAAAGAAAAAAAAGGATTGGATGCAAACAAAATGGCACGACAACATACAAACGCAGAAGCGTCCATTCAATCTGCCATCACATTTTTCAAAGTAGTTCAGACTTCTGCGGTGACTCTGAGGCATCAGGCAGGGGACTCTTCATCAGACGGCTTTCCAAGATGCCAAAATTCAATTTGATCGTTTTTAGAGTTCAGAGAACCCAGAGTTATAATCTGAAGAAAAGCTTTCTGCCAAACCTCACCCTTTTCCTGAGCGCCATTTATATCACTCGCTAAACTACAGGCAACTCCAATCCCTTATACCCAAGCCTTATTGGAATAAGAGAAAGAAAGAAAAAAGAAAAGCAAATTATCTGAATACCGAGGTGGAAAGTCCTGCAGAGCAGAGGACCTAAGCCCAAATCACAGGATGATTTCTGTACCAACGAAGTGAACTGAGTCCACTGATGCAGTCACAAGCGCTAGTGCGAATGGTCCACGTGCTCGTGTGTTTGGGGTGACTTAAGTAGAAAGGAGAAGTGAGTGAAAGCAGTAAGTGTCCCGGAAGGAAAGACAAGATAAAGAGATGACAAGGAGACTTCATGTGGTTCTCTCTCTAGAGGTTTGACTGTGAGTTAAAAGCCCACCCTGGTAGGCCAGGCACAATGGCTCATGCCTGTAATCCTAGCACTTTGGGAGGCTGAGGGGGGTGGATCACTTGAGCCCAGGAGTTTGAGACCATCCTGGCCAATATGGCGAAACCCCGTCTCTACTAAAAATACAAAAAAATTAGCCAGGCGTGGTGGTGGGCACCTGTAATCTCAGCTGCTCAGGAGGCTGACATAAGAGAATTGCTTGAACCCAGGAGGTGGAGGTTGTACTGAGCTGAGATCGTGCCACTGCACTCCAGCGTGGGTGACAGAGTGAGACTCTGTCTCAAGAAAAAAAAATAAAGCCCATCCTGCTTTTGTGCCATAAGTTGAGTGATCACGCAAAGAAACATGCATCCTATCTCACTTAAAGGCTAGGGGATCATGGTTGGATCAGAGTCCCCCACCGCTTGCATACATGCCGTGAAAAGTAATATGATCATTGAAAAGGGGCAAAACACTGGCATCAGCAGAAGTGCTGCCAGACAATAAAACCTAAAGAGCAGCACAAACCTGTTCAGGGTTCACGTGACAAAACATAGAAATCTTCTCCTTCACGGCCATCTCGATGGGTGTTGAACTTCGGCAGACAATCTGTCAAAGCCAGTTATGCATGCATCAGCAAACAAGATTCATTTTCAGCACATTCATTTCTTTTTACTACAAGAGACTTGACCAAGTATGTACTTGTTCACTTTGGGAATTCCACTGCACTATTCGCAATTGGTCTGAGCACTAATATAAGTATAGTCAAATTCAGCACAAAGTTATCAGTAAGAACTCGAAACACAAATTTATCAGTTAAGAACTGGAAACATCGAGACGTCTCTGGTGAAGAGTCCAGGCTCACAAGTGTTGCTTCATTAACTACGAGAAAAGAGCTACACTGAGGTTGCAAACTTTTTATCAAAGGGGCCAGATGGGAAATATTTCAGCTTTGCAGGTCACACAGTCACTGTCCTGATCCTCAATCCTGGTGCAGTGTGAAAGCAGCTACAGATAATATGTAAATGAATGGGCGTGACTGCGAGCCAATGAAACTTCATTTACAAAACCAGGCACCCAAGCTGTGGGCCGTTATCTGCCAACCTCTGACTGAGATTATTGGTGATGACTGGATCACCTGCTATAAGGCCACATCACTGTTTAGACTAAAAATAAGAGCAGTGGGCTGGGCATGCTGTAATTACAGCATTTTAGGAAGCCAAGGCAGGAGGATTGGTAGAGCCCAGGAATTTGAGACCAGCCTGAGTAACATAGCGAAATCCTGTCTCTAAAAAAAACACATCGGGCCGGGCGCGGTGGCTCACGCCTGTAGTCCCAGCACTTCGGGAGGCCAAGGCGGGTGGATCATGAGGTCAAGAGATCAAGACCATCCTGGTCAACATGGTGAAACCCCATCTCTACTAAAAATACAAAAATTAGCTGGGCATCGTGGCACGCGCCTGTAGTCTCAGCTACTCGGGAGGCTGAGGCAGGAGAATTGCTTGAACCCAGGAGGCGGAGGTTGCAGTGAGCTGAGATCAAGCCACTGCACTCCATCATGCATAACAAGAGCGAAACTCCGTCTCAAAAAAAAACAAAAAAAAAACACATCGGCTGGTCCGAAGGTAGTGAGTTATCTCAATTGATTGTTCAGTCAGTCATAGATCGAACTCCTTGTTCTACTCATTCCCCCCTTCTCACTACTGCACTTGACCAGTCTTTTAAAAAAAACAAAAACAAAAAGAAACACCAAAATTAGCCAAGAGTGGTGGTGTGCACCTCTAGTATCTACTACTCAAAAGGCTGAGGTGGGAGAATCACTTGAGCCCAGGAGGCAGAAGTTGCAGTGAGCTGAGATCACGCCACTGCACCCCAGCCTGGGTGACAGAGCCAGACCCCGTCTCAAAAAAAAAAGAACAGTGATAACCCATCCTAGCAGAGTCACAGGAAAATCCTCAAGATCCCAGCTTCATTCTAAAGAATCCAGGAATCGTATAAATGACAGGACATCACACTTGCCAACTATCAGTGTGGCCCATCAAATGAGGGCCTAGGGAAGAACAGATTGAAGCAACATTTGAAGCTAAGGGAATAAGGCTTTCTCGGCTCCCAGATAGAAAAGCTCATTGTCATAGGAGCCATTTAAGAAGAACAAAGGACTTAGATGATGATAAAGATAAAGTGAAGGGCAGCCAGGAGTGGTGGCTCTCACCTGTGATCCCAAGCACTTTGGAGGCCAAGGCAGGCGGATCACTTGAGGCCAGGAGTTCAAGACCAGCCTGGCCAACATGGCAAAACTCCACTTCTACTAAAAATACCAAAATTAGCCAGGCATGGTGGCATGCGCCTGTAATCCCAGATACTCTGGAGGCTGAGGCAGGAGAATCGCTTGAACCTGGGAGGCGGAGGTTGCAGTGAGCCAAGACTTAACCACTGCACTCCAGGCTGGGTGACAGAGCAAGACTCCACCTCAAAAAAAAAAAAAAAAAAAATGAAGGGCCTCCTCCCAGAGACCTTTGGGATAGACTTACCCACTGTCCTCAACTCACCAGATCTGGAGACAGGCCTAACCCCCTCAGTGCACGAACACTGTTTTGGGTGGGTTTGGTTTTTTGTTCTCCGGTAGCTTCGAGCTGAAAAGAAATGGGGTCCCGTCAGCACACTGGACACCAGTTCCTATGAATGATTAATGGTGCCCCACTTTCACATGTGGGACACATAGAATATCATAGGAAAACTTATCAAAGTTGCTGTCCACATACTTATCTGGAAAGCTCACCTGTGGGACAAGGCTAACGTGGATATTACAGAAATTCTCTCTTCTCGCCTTAAACTGGAATTGTCTAAACGCTTCCACAAATGGCATTCCTTCGATGTCTCCAATGGTGCCTCCCAGCTGGGAATGGAAAACAAACAAAAAAAGACACAAATGACAACACATCTTCCACGATACACAAGCTAATAAAAAGAGTTCTTAATAAACCGAGCATAAGAACTAAAGTTAGATGGTTACACAGACGTTTGTAAATATGTTCAAAACCACTAAATTGTGGCTGGGCGTGGCAGCTCATGCCTGTGATCCCAGTGCTTTAGTAGGCCAGGGCAGGAGGATCACTTGAGCCCAGGAGGTCCAGGCTGCAGCGAGTCATGCTCGTGCCACTGCACTCCAGCCTATGTGACAGAGGGAGATCCTGTCTCTGAAAAAATATTAAAATAAAAAATGAAACTTTATTAAAGATTTCTCCACGTGTATACTCTTCAGTAGCCCTCTGCTTCATTGAAACTAGCATTGAGGCCAGACACAGCGGCTCACGCCTGTAATCCTAGCACCTTGGGAGGCTGAGGCTGGCAGATCACAAGGTCAGGAGATCAAGACTATCCTGGCTAACGTGGTGAAACCCCGTCTCTACTAAAAATACAAAAATTAGCTGGGCGTGGTGGCATGCACCTGTACTCCCAGCTCATCGGGAGGCTGAGGCAGGAGAATTGCTTGAACCCAGGAGGCGGAGGCTGCAGTGAGCTGAGATCGCACCACTGCACTCCAGCCTGGGTGACAGAGCAAGACTCTGTCTCAAAAAAAAAAAAAAAAGGCTCTCAGGACCTGGCCCTTACACTACTGAGTCTACAAGTGCCATCTGGTCCCCTCCCCACTGGCCTCTTGAATACTCCATGCTCTTCCTTCCTGCCCCTCAAGCCCTCCTACCCTCCTTCTTTATCTACAGCAACCTCTCTTTATCCTCTCTTTATCCTCCAGTCCAGGAGAAATGCATCCTCCTCAGAGGGCAGACTCTGACGCCCCACCTAAAGCAGCCTATATCCCACCAACCCTTGTTACAGCACTGTACCCATCCTAGAAACTCAGCATATGTTGCCTCTATTTCATTTCTGTCTTTGTTTCCTGCCTCACTACCCCACTAGACTGTAAGCCCCTTGAGGGCATGAATCCAGTACCCTGCATGCAGCACTGGGGGTTAGTTTAGTAGTTGGGACAAGACAGAAAAGTCCTGAAATTCAATATAAGCCCTAAGTAACAATGTTCTAATACCTGTTGCCAAAATTACAACAGAACCAAAGGCAGGGCTGGGGGCAGTGGCTCACGCCTGTAATCCCAACACTTTGGGAGACAGGAGTATCACTTGAGCCCAGGAGTTCGAGTCCTGCCTGGGCAACAAAGTGAGAACTTGCCTTCACAAAAGGATTTAAAAAATTGGCTGGGCATGGTGGCACGGTGCCTATGGTCCCAGCCACTCAGGAGGCTGAGGTGGGAGGATTGCTCGAACCTGGAGAGGTCCAGGCTGCAGTGAGTCATGATCATGCTGCTGCACGCCAGCCTAGGGTACAGAGCAAGACACTGTCTCTTTAAAACAAACAAACAAACAAAAAAAAACCTCGAAGAAGCTAAAACATCACATGATATAATCAAGAACTTGGGGGAGAGGGTGGAGAAGTGAGTGTAAGTACCCACTAACTACAGGGCACCAAAATCTAATTTTTGAAAATTATTTATTTTCTCTAAGGAAAAAAAAAGAGGTCTGCACTTAAACTAAACTATATGCATATATCCTCTGTTTTGATGGAGGTCCTCTGGGAGTCAATAATACAGGTATTGATCAACTTACGACCTATGCAACTTACGACCATTCGACTTTACGACCACAATCGCTAGTCACGACTGCTTCGCTGTAGATTTTTGGAAACACTACAACATTTTGATGTGTATCAAGAATATCGCTACCACCTGGGAGGCTGTGATGACAAAGTGCATGAATGGCATCTGGAAAAATTGTGTTAAGCGCTATGTTAATGATTTTGACGGATTTGACAGTGAACATGAACTTGAAACGATTCGGGAAAAAATAGTGAAACTCGCTAAAGACCTTTCTTTGGAGTGTGAAATGGAAGATGTCGAAGAGTTGCTAGACAAAGAATCCGGAGAACTTACAAATGAAGAGCTAATCGAACTGGAAGAAGAAAGAGTGGCAGAAGAAGAAAGAAGAGGAGGAGCCAGAAAGAAAGTTCACCACTAGGGGATTATCAGACGGTTTATCTTTACTGAATAAACTTCTTATACATTTCGAAGCAATGGACCCAAACATTGAACGATTTGCAAGGATTGAACGGATGGCGCACGATGTGTTTCGTCCGTATCATGAAATTTATGAAGGAAAAAGGAACATACAATTCAGACAAAGCTCACCATGTTTATGAAAAAACCAACTCTGGTAACCCCAACTGCTGCCTCAGATGACGACATCAACGATCCACAGCCAAGCACCAGCGGCCAATAAAATGTTTTGTACATGTTTATATATTTTGATATGTTTTGCAATTGGGAAAATGTTTCCTATGGTATTTTTTACACCTGTATTTTGTATTTTTGTATGCACCTGTATTTTGTAATTTTGTATGTTTTGCAAATATTAAACCAGTTGTACTGGTAACACACTGTTTTACTTAAACCTGACGAATGTAAAAATAAGAAACAAAATGGTGTAGAGATGATACAAATGGCATAAAATGAACAAAGGAAATTACGATATATAACAATAATGAAAGAAAATTATGATAAAATATGACTTAAAGATTTTTATAACATCATTTCACAGTACTGTACATATAGCCTACTCAACTTACGACCAAATCGTGTTACGACCGGTCGGTCGGCACCAATCGTGGTCGTAAGTCGAGCACAGGCTGTAGTGAACTCGAAAAGGAGGCCAACTTTAAACATTATCCGCTTCTGCCCTCTTGTGGTCAATCGTGGTACTACATTCTCCCCGCTAATTCAGAAATTCCCGTTACCATACCTCTAGGTCACCATCATCATGGTGTTCAGAAACCTTCAAAATTACTACTGGAATAGTTTGAAATTAACTGTTGCCCCAAATAAAAGGGAAAATATCACCCATAACAATACTTTATGCTGAAATGGAAGCAGCAGCAAATTTATGAGATGTGCAAAGTTGTTTTTGCCTTTGTCTTTAACGAAAGGAGTCTTTTTTTCTTCTCCTTTTTTATTTTTTTTAGAGACAGGGTCTCACTCTGCCAGCCAGGCTGGAGTGCAGTAGTGAGATCATGGCTGACTGTAGCCTCAAACTCCTGTAAGTGATCCTCCCGCCTCAACCTCCCAAGTAAGTGGGACTACAAACCATCACACCTGGCTGCGTCTTCTTTTTTGGAAAATAAACAAGAAGAAAGAAAGAAACCTGTTATTCCTTTAAGACAAGCATAAATTATTTCAGATTCATGCCAAGATAACCCACACTATTATAAATAAAAACTGTCAGCTCCACTGATCTGAAGACATTTCAACAGCTCCTCTATGCTTAAAACTAAAAATCAGGCCGGGCGCGGTGGCTCAAGCCTGTAATCCCAGCACTTTGGGAGGCCGAGGCGGGTGGAACACGAGGTCAAGAGATCGAGACCATCCTGGTCAACATGGTGAAACCCCGTCTCTACTAAAAATACAAAAAACATTAGATGGGCATGGTGGCGCGTGCCTGTAATCCCAGCTACTCAGGAGGCTGAGGCAGGAGAATTGCCTGAACCCAGGAGGCGGAGGTTGCAGTGAGCCGAGATCGCGCCATTGCACTCCAGCCTGGGTAGCAAGAGTGAAACTCCGTCTCAAAAAAAAAAAAAAAAAAAACTAAAAATCTGGTTTGGCAGTCCTTCAAAAGCTTAAATGGTGCACAAACACAACTGTTGAACACAACTTACAATGAACCAAAGAAGATGGTTGACCACTAGCATCCAAAAAGCAAATATAAACATCAGGGTTATAATGGAGAAGGGGTTCTGTTTGTCAGTTTCTCTGTTTTCATGAAATTTAAAATCCATCCAATGAGCTCCTGAAGAGCAGAAGCCAGATCACACTCAATCTCACATCCCCAGCAGCTGTCATCAGGGCTAGTACATATTAAGTGCTAAATTAATCATTGTGAAGGTAAATAAGTCAATTCAAGGGTAGAATAAGGAATAAAATTAATAATTTGACAGGCATGGTGGTGGTACACCTGTAGTCCCAGCTACTTGGGAGGCTGAGGCAAGAAGATTGGTTGAGCCCAGAAATTCGAGGCTACAGTGAGCTTTGATCACACCCATGAATAGCCACTGCACTCCAGCCCGAGGCAACAGCGAGATCTTATCTCTAAAAAATAAATAACCAGTAACTTTATCAGCTCTACTGTTAACAAAATGGATCTTCTACATCGTATGATATCTGCTAACACAATGACAATAATAATAGCTAATTTACATTTATTGAGCCAGACATTGCAAAGTGCTCCATATGATTGCATTTAATCCCTGAACAATCCTGTTATTATCTTATTATTACAATATTATATTATTACCACATTATTACAAATGAGGACGTTGAAATTGTGAGAATTTTCTAAAAGTCATACAGGCATCTTAATACTAGCTAATAATTTTTAAGCACTTACTAGATCTGTGACACCATTCTAAGCAATAAGTGTAGAGACTTATTTAATCCTCAAAACAATGAGTTAAACAGGCACAGAGAAGTTAGTAAACTGGCCCAAGGTCACTCCTGCTACCACCACCCTCCTCCTGCCCCCTGTAAGTGACCTTGCTAGGCTACAAACCCAGACAGTTTGCCTTCAGACTCTTAATTACTGAGGTATACACGGTTCAGGAATATACCTGCAGAAATACAAACCGAGGCAGACTGACTCCAAGAACCAAACTTCGTTATTCTGCTCTTTTGTGGAGCAATTAAGCCAACTGACATTTAGAGGAGGATGATATGGATTAACATTCTCATTCTGCACATGGAGAGGAAGGGAACAAGTGGCAAGTTCAAATATTACCTTTTTTTTTTTTTTAATTCAGACAGGGTCTGGCTCCATCGCCCAGGCCGGAGGGCTGGTGCGATCATGGCTCTCTGCAGACTCAACCATCCGAACTCAAAAGATCCTCCCGCCTCAGCTTCTCAAGTAGCTGGGACTACTGGTGCATACCACCATGCCTAGCTAATTTTTGTAGTTTTTGTAGAGACTGGGTTTTACCATGTTGCCCAGGCTGTCTCAAACTCCTGGGCTCAAGCAATCCTCCCACCAAAGCATCCAAAAATGCTGAGATTACAGTCATGAGCCACCTTGCCCAGCCACTAGTTTCTTTGTTTAAACAGCTGATACTAATCATTTATCACCTCTACCATCTGACTTCGCTAACCCAGTGTCTCTTTACTTCCAAAGCACTTCGGAAATACTTTTCAAATAGCATGCACTAGAGTGTGGTTTGTTGTGTGTGGACAGGATTGTGAGCAAGCTCCCCCAGGGCAGAGACTGTGCCCATCCCAGGCCCCGGCACAGAGGACGCCCTCACACTGGCTTTATCAGCAGCTGATCAGTCTCCACCAGCAGTTCACTGCACGTCCACCCAGGAGTATGAATGATTATCTGTTTAATGCCAATCTTGCTCACTGACTTGTGACCACAAAGACAGAAGCCATCTATGTTATTCCTTGCTGTGACCCCACCTCCTGGCCCAGTGTCCGGCACTCAGGAGGGCATGTGTATTTGTCAAATGAATGAAGATCAGATGCTCAAAGACCCAGCAGGATATAATTTTATAAAGAAAGTTATATGCTTGCCTCAATAACGCATATTTGGGGCTCCTTATTACCATCCACTGGCACCTTGGCTTGATTCATAACCCACTCCTGGACAGCATCAGTAATGTGAGGGACAACTGTAGAAAGAAGAAAGAACATGCTCATGAGAAAATAATGTGCTTTAGACCTCCCCAATCACCTAAAAGTCACCTGGCAAGTTACCCAAGCCACATTCCTAGTTTTTTTAATTCCCACACTGCAATGCACATGTGGTGATGCGATTTTGGCTTAGTCATTTACACGTTAGGCCATTTGTCTTGAAATCAACCAATTACAGAGAACAAGAAATAGCCAGCATGGTGGCTCACGCATGTAATCCCAGCACTTTGGGAGGCCGAGGCGGGTAGATCCCAAGGTCAGGAGACAGAGACCATCCTGGCCAACATGGTGAAACCCCGTCTCTACTAAAAACACAAAAATTAGCCAGGCATGGTGGCAGATGCCTGTAGTCCCAGCTACTTGGGAGGCTGAGGTAGGAGAATCGCTTGAACCCAGGAGGCAGAAGTTGCAGTGAACGGAGATCGCACCACTGCACTCCAGCCTGGGTGACAGAGCGAGACCCTGTCTCAAAAAAAAAAAAACGACAAAACAAAAGGCTGCACTCCAATTAGGTAAAGATAATACATGTTTCTCCATGGCTTTTCTAAACAAAAGCTGAGAGAGGAACAGAGAGAGAGAGAGAAAAAAAAGAGATACATAGACGAAGGAGAACAATTAATGACAATACATAAAAAAGAGGCTGATCTGATGGCAGTGGGTTATCAGAACTTTTTAACATTAGTGCCACTAATGGAGGGTTGGTCTACAACCCTCCACTGCTAAATTTGACTACCTTTAAAAATAAATTTAAAAAAGAAAAAGAGTGATGAAAATATAATCAGGAACATGGAGGGTGAAGGACACTTTTTTGGAAAACGAAAACACAACAATTTTAAAAGGATTAGAACTTGTAGAGCACAGGGACTGTGACATTTTCAGTTCTACTTTTTTTTTTTTTTTTTTTTTTTTGAGACGGAGTCTCGCTCTGTCGCCCAGGCTGGAGTGCAGTGGTGCTATCTCGGCTCACTGCAACCTCTGCCTCCTGGGTTCAAGCAATTCTCCTGCCTCAGCCTCCTGAGTAGCTGAGATTACAGGCACGAGCCAACACGCCCAGCTAATTTTTGCATTTTTAGTAGACACAGGGTTTCACCATGTTGGCCAGGCTGGTCTTAAACTCCTGACCTTAGGCAATCCACCGGCCTCGGCCTCCTAAAGTGTTGGTATTACAGGTATGAGCCACCACACCAGCCTTCAGTTCTACTTTTGAGAAGCACAAGGATGTTCAGCACACAGGGCTCCGACACATCTATGGAATATAATACCTTGCACTGTTTTCCCCAGGTAATCGCCATGCCTCTCTTTATTGATCACATGCTGATATATCTTCCCGGTGGTGATGTTGTTGTCTTTATAAAGACTAATATCCAAAAATCTTTCATAATTTCCAAGGTCCAAATCAACTTCTCCACCATCATTTAAGACGAAGACTTCACCTAGGATTAAAAAGGCAATGGAAAAATCAAATCTTTGCTTCCAGTAGATTTTTCAAAGATGAACATATTTTTATCAAAGAGCTGGTAAAAGATGTATTTCTAAGCCATATTCTATCACCATCTCATTGTTGGTGGAGAAATTAACAATTCAATTCTATCCCAGAAAATGCATCAGAAAATTCTATTCATAGTATTCTATTGTGTTTTTTTAAATCTACTGAAACTCTGTCTTCAAAATTTAGCTTTTCCAAACTCAACATACACCGCATGAAAAAAAGACTTGAAAACAGCAATTTTAAAAACAAACAGCATTTTACTTCAAGGCATCAGTATCCTTGGCTCTGGAGTTGCAATAAGAAACTTTTACCTTGATTCTCTTCTTGGTTAAAGCCACAATTAGACAGTAAATGACAAAGCAAGGCCACAGCTAACCCACAAGGCAGCTTGGTGAAACTGAGAAAAAAGGCCTGGGTGTGCCATATGCTACCTGCACAATGCACTGTCAGAAAAGACAGGTGCAGACCTCATCATACGAGGACCACCCACTTTAACAAGACCCGTCTGTAGATCTCTATTGTCACTTCCGGGTGTTGACTGGGAGTCATATGTTTCTAAAGCCACCTTGTAAACATTGAACCTCTCCCCCATTAACGAAACTATCATTTATTCCTACTGTTAGATGTACATAGGAAAAGGACACTTGACTAACTTACAAACTTAATCAGAAACCTTTTATATCCTCATTTACTTATTCATTCTAAGGTACATGACTGTGCTCTAGAAGATTAATTTTAAGGAAAAAAGTAAATTGATATCACAATACTTTTTTTTATTTTTTTCAATTTTTGTTTTCAATTTTTTTAGACAGAGTCTCGCTATCACCCAGGCTGGAGTGCAGCAGCACAATCTCAGCTTACTGCAACCTCCAACTCCTGGATCCAAGCAATTCTCATCACTTCCCAAGTAGCTGGGATTACAGACATGTGCCACCACGCCCAGCTAATCTTTGTATTTTTTTTTTTTTAATAGAGACAGGGTTTCACCATGTTTGCCAGGCTGCTCTCGAACTCCTGACCTCAAGTAATTCACCCCCCCCACCCTCAACCTCCAACCTCCCAAAGTGCCTGGATTACAGGCATGAGCCACTACACCTGGTCACAGTACTTTTTTATTTCCCAAATTCCATTTACAGTTAAAATTCCGCTTTTTCATGTAATCAAGAATCACCAATCTATGGAAAAGTTTTCCTTTGATCATCTTAACTTCTTACACACTTTTCTTGGATGAGATTGGGGAAAATCTCTGAAATTTCTTCAGTTAATTCAGGCCAAATCCAGCATGGCAATACTCAGTGTATAGGGCAAAGATCTCAAAGTTTTAATTACCAAATTTTAAAAGTATGCACACATGAGGCCAAGCACAATGGCTCACACCTGTAATCCCAGCACTTTGGGAGGCCAAGGCAGGCAGATCATTTGAACTCACAAGTTTGAGACCAACCTGGGCAACATGACAAAACCCTATCTCTACAAAAAATACAAAAATCAGCCAGGTGTGGTGGTGCACACCTGTAGTCCCAGCGACTCCAGAGACAGGTTGGAGGATTGCTGGAGCCTGGGAGATTGCAATGAGCCAAGATTTAACCACCGCACTCCAGGCTGGGGAACAGAGCGAGACCGTGTCTCAAAAAAGAAAGAAAAAGAAAAGTATGCATACATTATGTTCCTAGAAGAGAAAGATAAATTATTGATAAGACTTCGAAAACAGTTGATTAGATATAACGTCATTGTAATAAAAATCCCAACAGATTTTTTTTAACTTGACAGTTAACATTAAAGTTTAATTGGAAGAAAAACAGGTGAGATTGCCAAGACAATAAATAATCCCTATAAAAAATAATAGCGAGTAGAAGATTAAAATAGATATGCAAACACGTAATAACATAAACAAATGCACAAAACCGAAATACTCAAAAGTTTTCTATTACATAAAGGAATTTAGTATGACTTTATTAATATTAGTAAAAATAATATGGTTTTAAAATATTAATTAAAAAGACCATTAGCAAAGGAAATTAGATAAAATACTCAGAAATAAACCTCAAATAAATGTGAAGAACATATATGTTGTCTTTTTTTTTTTTTTTTTTTTTTTTTTTTGAGACAGGGTCCTACTCTGTCACCCAGGCTAGAGTGCAGTGGCGTGATCATAGCTCACTGCAGCCTCTATTTCCCAGACTCAAGCAATCTTCCCGCCTCAGCCTCTTGAGTAGCCGGGACTACAGGCATGCACCACTAGACCTGGCTAATTTTTTAAATTTTTTTGTAGAGACAATTTTTTATGTTGCCCAGGCTGGTCTCAAACTCCTGAGCTCAAGCCATCCTCCCACCTCGGCCTCCCAAAGTGCTAGGATTACATTCGTGAGCCACAGTGCCTGCCTTGGAGGACATATATGAAGAAAACCTAAAAATTTTAATTTAGAGACATAAAATAATGTATCAATAAAATGAGAGCCATTTATAAAGTTCTGAATGGGCCAGTCAATATTTTCTGAGTGTTTAATTTTTCCCCAACTTAATTTATAAATTTAAAGCAATATCTGTCAAAAATCCCAATGCAATTTCTTATAAAATTTGACAAAATAGGGCCAGATGCAGTGGCTCATGCCTGTAATCCCAGCACTTTGGGAGGCCAAGGCAGGCAGATCACCTGAGATCAGGAGTTCAAGACCAGCCTGACCAACATGGTGAAACCACATCTCTACTAAAAATACAAAAAAAAAAAAAAAAAAATTAGCTGGGCATGCTGGTGGGTGCCTGTAATCCCAGGTACTCAGGAGACTGAGGCAGGAAAATTGCTTGAACCCAGGAGGCAGAGGTTGCAGTGAGCCAAGATCGCGCCACTGCACTCCAGCCGGGGCACAACAGAGCGAGACTTCATCTCAAAAACGAAGTTTTGACAAAATGATTCCTAAATTAACCTTGAAGACAACAAACATTTTGAAGTTAAAAAAAGAAGGTCAGGCACGGTGATTCACATCTGTAATCGCAGCACTTTTTGGGAGGCCGAGGGAGGCCTATCACCTGAGGTCCGGAGTTCCAGACCAGCCTGTCCAATAGGGTGAAACCCCACCTCTACTAAAAATACAAAAGTTTTCTGGGCATGGTGGTGCACGCTTGCAAGCCCAGCTACTTGGGAGGCTGAGGCAGTAGAATCACTCGAAGCCAGGAGGTTGCAGTGAGCCAAGATTGTGCCATTGCACTCCAGACTGGGCAAAAAGAGCAAAATTCTATCTCAAAAAAAAAAAAAAAGAATTAATAATGAAGATAGTCCTGACCTACTTGATAATAAATAGCTGCAGCCATTAAAATGGTAGTCAGGAATAGGCAAAGAGATCAAAGGAACAGAACAGAGTACAAAAACAGGACTAAATATATACAAAAATCTAGTATATGATAAAAGGTAGTATTTCCTTATTTTATTTATTTATTTATTAGAGACAGGGTCTCACCGTGTTGCCCAGGCTGATCTCAAACTCCTGAGCTCAAGCGATCACCCCACCTTAGCCTCCCAAGTAACTGGGACTACAGGCACACACCACCATGCCTAGCTAAAAGGTGGTATTTCAAGTCAGTGGAGAAAGGATGAAATCTTCAACACATTAGGAATAGTCGGCTAATCAGAAAAAAATTATATTACATGCTTACCTCATACCAAATTAAATTCCAGATGTGTTAGCAAGTGCTAGAAGAAAATATATGTGAGTATTTAAATATTCCTGGGGTGGAGAAGCTTAAAGGTGACATCGAAGGCAGAAGCCATAAAAGAAACAGCTAATAACATTTAATCACATAAATGGTAAATTGAAACTTATCAGCAACTAACAGAGGTAAAATTAACACAAATTTTCAAGCAAGGTAAAAATATATAGGTGTGATAAATATTAATTAACATACTTTACATAAACTATTCTTAAAAATCATAGGCCAGATATGGTGGCTCACACCTGAAATACCAGCACTTTAGGAAGCCAACGCGGGTGGATCACCTGAGGTCAGGAGTTCGGGACCATTCTGGCCAACATGGTGAAACCCCATCTCTACTAAAAATACAAAAATTAGCTTGGCGTGGTGGCGGGCGCCTGTAATCCCAGCTACTCAGAAGGCTGAGGCAGGAGAATCACATGAACCTGGAGGTGGAGGTTGCCGTGAGCCGAGGTCGCCCCACTGCACTCCAGCCTGGGCAACAGAGTGAGACTCCATCTCAAAAAAATAATAACAATCATTAAAGAAATCCAAAGAAACTTTGGTGTAACATATGGCATTAGTTAATGAAGCCGCACGACAAACAACCTCAGAATCTCTGCAAATTGCAAAACATTTATTTCTTCCTGTTGGAGAGCTCCCATGGGGGCTGTGAGTCACTATGAGTCTATTCTTTGTGTCTTCTCATTCCAGGACCAAGACTGAATGAGAAATCTCTGAAAAACAGGCTGTTCTCACAGCAGAGGGCAGAAGCACAAGGCAGACTGAGCCAAACCACGTAAATGCATTTGACATTTCTGCTTCAACAAGCATATGTTATTATTCCCTTCCATCCCATAGGACAAAACAAATCACGTGGCCAAATAGCATGACCAACCTCCTCGGTTTGCCCAGGACTAAGAGGGGTCCCAGGACACAGGACTTTCTGTTTTAAAATCAGGAATGTTCCAAACAAACCAGGACAAGTTAACTATCCTACGTGGCCAAACTCCAAGGTCAAAGGGCAGGGAAATGTACTACACAGAGGGATGGTGGGTGACATTTTGAAGCAAAAATACAATCCACCACAGGCTTGAATAAGTCAATCACAAACAAAATCAAAATCAAAGAAATCTAAATTAAAACAATAAGATACCCTCTATTTAGTTTAAAACAAAATACTCAAGGCTGGGTACAGTGGCTCATGCCTGTAATCCCACCACTCTGGGAGGTAGGAGAATTGCTTGAGTCCAGGAGGTCGAGATCAGCCTGGGTAACATGGCAAATCCGAGCTCTATAAAAAATACAAAAATTAGCCAGGCATGGTGATGTGCCCCTGTAAATCCCAGCTACCCAGGGGGCGGAAACAGGAGGATCACTTGAGCCCAGGAGGTAGAGGTTGCATTGAGCCAAGATCTTGGCTACTGTACTCCAAACTGGGCAACAGAGTGAGACTCTGTCTCAAAAAACAAAAACAGGCCGGGAGCGGTGGCTCACGCCTATAATCCCAGCACTTTGGGAGACCGAGGCAGGTGGATAACGAGGTCAAGAGATCGAGACCATCCTGGTCAACATGGTGAAACCCCGTCTCTACTAAAAATTTTAAAAAATTAGCTGGGTATGGTGGCGCGCGCCTGTAGTCCCAGCTACTCGGGAGGCTGAGGTGGAAGAATTGCTTGAATCCAGGAGGTGGAGGTTGCAATGAGCTGAGGTCGCGCCATTGCACTCCAGCCTAGGTAACAAGAGTGAAACTCTGTCTCAAAAAAAAAAAAAAAAAAAAAAACAAGAGGACAGGATAGCAATAAGGGACACAAACATCTCTGTTTCTTGATCAGGGGCTGGTTACACAGTGTGTTCATTTAATGAAAATTCATCCAACTGCACACACATGATTTATGCACTTTTTGCTTGTATATAAAAAGCTTTTTTTAATACCATGTAAAGGCTAATGCCATTTAAAAAATAAATAGAATATACTCATACATCAAAATGTCACCATTAATAATAGTTACTCCAGGCAGTGGGAAATGTTAAGAGAAACATACTACTACCTTTATGATAAAATGAAACAGAATCCATATTGCAAAAGGTACAATGTTTCCAAAAGGGTTGATTAATTTGGAATGTCATCAGAGGTATGAACAATGTGTCAATTACCATGAGAAAATTCACATATTCATAGCATGCGATCTAGTCACTCTAAATCTGGAACTACATCCTAAAGGAAATCACCCAAAATGGAAGAAAGAATGCAGTTGAGCCTAGTGCTATAAGGGGAAAGTGGTTCTCTTTCATACCATGTTCATAAGGTGAAAAAGTGCCCGCATCGATGTTAATATAGGGGTCGATTTTGATGGCAGTAACTCGGAGTCCACATGATTTTAGAATCGTCCCAATGCTGCTGGCGATGATCCCTTTACCAATGCCTGAGATGACCCCACCGGTGACCAGGATGTACTTCATCGTCAGAGAAGTGGCTGGATGTCAGCACCCAGATAGAATCTGAAAGGCAACAAAATTATGGATAAGGAAAGAGAAATATTTTCTCAAACTAGTAAAGCAGACAGTACATTCAACCAGAATTTTTTTTTTTTTTTTTTTTTTTGAGACACAGTCTCACTCTGTCACCAAGGCTGAAGTGTAGTGGTACAATCAATCATGGCTCACTGTACCCTCTGCCCCCTGGGTTCAAGCAATCCTCCCACCTCAGCATCCTAGTAACCAGGACTATAGGTGAGCACCACTGTGACCTGTTAATTTTTGTATTTTTTTAATAGAGATGGAGTTTCACCATATTGCCCAAGCTGGTCTCAAATTCCAGAGTTCAAGTGATCTACCTGCCTCAGCCCCCTAAAGTGCTGGGATAACAGGCATGAGCCACCGCGGCCAGCACAGAATTTTTTTATTTAAGAGACAGTGTCTTGCTATATTACCCAGGCTGGAGTACAGTGACATGTTCATAGCTCCCTGCAACCTTGAACTTCTGGGCTCCAGCAATCCTCTTGCCTCAGGCTCCCAAGAGCTGGGACTACAGGCACGTGCCACCTCTCCCAGATAATTCTTAAATTTTTTTTGTAAACACTGGGTCTTACTATGGTGCCCTGGCTGGTCTCGAACTCCTGGGCTCAAGCAATCCCCTTGCCTTGGCCTCCTAAGATGCTGTGTTTACAGAAGTGAGCCACCATGCTTCGTCCCACCAAAATTTCAAAAGCACACAGCATTTTTCTCTCTAAACTAAATACTTGAACTTTTTGAAACAGTCTTATCTTCTAGGCTTTTTATTGTTGTCACTATACAGAAAGCTGTGGATACCTTCTGCAAGCAAAGTGCTTAGGTCTGTTGCCCTGGGTTTCCAAAGACCTCAATTCTGTCATGCAACAAACTTCATCATGAGAAGCCAAATTTCTCTAGGATTCACAGGCATGCTAAAATGGTTAAGAGCTCAGACTCTAAGTGCCGGGCGCGGTGGCTCAAGCCTGTAATCCCAGCACTTTGGGAGGCCGAGGCGGGTGGAACACGAGGTCAAGAGATCGAGACCATCCTGGTCAACATGGTGAAACCCCGTCTCTACTAAAAAAAAAAATACAAAAAATTAGCTGGGCATGGTGGTGCATGCCTGTAATCCCAGCTACTCAGGAGGCTGAGGCAGGAGAATTGCCTGAACCCAGGAGGCGGAGGTTGCAGTGAGCCGAGATCGCGCCATTGCACTCCAGCCTGGGTAACATGAGTGAAACTCCGTCTCAAAAAAAAAAAAAAAAAAAAAAAAAAGAGCTCAGACTCTGCTCTCAGACTGATCTGTACAAACTGCATCTGGGCAAGTTCTTTTTTTTTTAGACATGGTCTCACTCTGTTGCCCAGGCTGGAGTGCAGTGGCACAATCTTGGCTCACTGCAGCCTCCACATCCACGGTTCAAGGGATTCTCATGCCTCAGCCTCCCGAGTAGCTGGGATTACAGGCACACGCCACCACACCTGGCTGATTTTTGTATTTTTAGTAGAGACAGAGTTTCACCATGTTGGCCAGGCTGGTCTCGAACTCCTGGTCTCAAGTGACCACCCACCTCAGCCTCCCAAAGCGCTGGGATCACAGGCGTGAGCCACCACACCTGGCCCTGGGCAAGTTCTTTATCCTTTCTGTGCCTATTCCTTCAG